AATCTCTTCCAAGAACGTAAACGCACTGGTGAATGTATATGTCTTTATTAGGTCATTTCTGTGTCTGCCTCTTGTCTTTGTGATTAGGTTCAAAAAGGCGGCAGAAAATCTATGGACAGCATCAAAACAGTCATTAGAAATAAAGATAAAAGATATTTGAGCTTTGTGTCATTCATTTAGAAAATAAATTCAAAACTAAAAAGTTGTTGTTGTTGCTGTTTGTGAAACTGATGGGCTCAGGCTCACCTGACACATGGCATTTTATATGAAACCCTTAAAAGTCACTGTGTCACCACTCAATCTTTCATTCGTGGAACCATAGTAGAGGAAGTAGACTTTGTAGATTTGGCACTACAAGGCCCTAGATGCTGGTGCGTCTACAAGGCACAGCAAGGCTGAATGAGCCTGAGAAATCGCATGGCTTTGGCCCTGCTGCAGCGTGGGAATGGCTCATTGAGTCTGCAGGTATGGAGCTAAGAGTGAGAAATGACTGCAGTCTTTCACAGCTGATCAGCTTTTCTCCTTCACCCTTACTACCTTTTCATAGTCATGCCCCCTTTCCATGTCTTTAAATCCTATTTCCTGTTCACCTCACCTGAACCTTTACCCCCTTACAAACTCAGTCACTCATTCAAAGCCAATGCAACATATTCACAGCCAACACATTTCAGCCTCAATGTATACAAATATTCTGTCTGTGCGTCAGTGGGAGGGTATCTTTTTTTATAACCCCGTCTGGTTGATTGAAAGGATTTTTTTTTACAAGGTGTGAGCTGACCTGGGACCTGATATGGCAGAAAACAGCATGACAGATGGCTCATTTGACAGTGGGAATTTGGGCCTTGGCTGTGGCCAGCTGAGGTTTGGCACCAAAGCATAGAGCTTTTCAGAATTTAAGTATCTCTTCCTTTAATTGCTATATATTCATTCAACTTAATTTACACAGGAAAAAATAGAAATACATTTTTTATTTCTAAGAGGGACCTGTTCCAATAATGTATTAGGTCATATAAAGTTGCATAACATTCACATATTAAATGCAAAGGCTTACATTCAGGAAACAAACTCGTAAACAAATGAACAGAAATCCAGATAAATATTTTAGAACTTTTTGAATTATTGATTGTGTTTGAATTTTTCCATTTTAATACTTTTAACAACCATCTTCAAACAGCAGTCTAAGTTACAAGTCTGTCATGTTAAATACCTACCTTATGCATCTTAGAGTCTTACCCATGTGTCTTTAAAAGCTAAGCTTACCGTAATTAGATTTAAGGAAAGAGATTTCTATGAACATTAGTTTTGAAATTTTGCACAAAAAAATCTCTAAAAAAATCATGCAGTGTCTTACTGCAGAGACAGGCACTTTATAGTAGCAAAAGTATGCTAGATATTAAATTTATAAAGTTTTGGATATTAATTTAGCACCTTCTGGCCCACTTACTGGGACAGCTAAACCTGTGAAAATTGGCAGATGCAGTTGCTTGAATGTTCACTAGTTGTAGAATATATTCCATAAAACGGAATGGCATATTTTTAAATTCCGTTAACATCCCTTACTTGAAAAAACAAAAAACTCTGTGCACTTAATATGATGTAACTATATACCATAAAATACTTTTAATATGGTATCAAAAATTAGATTGTCCTAATTTATTATTCTCTTCAACCTGTTATTTCTAAACTATGTTTTTCCTAAGGTCTTATAGTTTAGTACTTCAATTTTTGAAATTTATTAATACTGTATAACTCTGATAAGGTGGTCTATTTTTTTTTTATAAGATTGTAAATATTATGGTGTTTGATTCTGTGAACTTGTGAAAAGTTGATGAGTTTTAGAGAAATTTAGCCTCACAAAATTTGTGGTTCTTGCCTTTACATAATAAAAACAGGATAAAACACAGACTAAACACTTGATTTATAGTGATAAGGTGAACTAGGAGATTTCTACCTAGTAATACAACAATGTACACACATCTTTGTTTCCATCTCTCACAGGGCTCCAATCATGAACTAATGTACCATCATCCATCTCTGTGTCTGATGGGGTGTTCAAAGCCACTCCATTGTTTTTCCTGATGGATTCTGCCTCCTGTGTGGAGCCAGGCAACTAAAGCCTCATTCTGCAGTTGAGCTGGAGCTCTGCGAGGTTGTCCATGAGGGAGTAAAACATCTATAGTAAAGGAGAGCGAACCATGCAGAGTAAAAGGGAAAGCAATTCACTTGATACAAGGAGAAAAAGTTCTAAAGGTCACAGCACTTACAATGTGTGAAAGTAGATTCATGTTAAAGTTGATTTTCTGGTGGAAAGTGAACTCTAATAGTGATCAACAACATCTTTTTTTTAGTGTTTTTTAGTTTGCCATATCACCATCCAATCTGTTTTCATATCCGGCAGATCTTCTCTCTGCCAGCATCCTGCATAGATAAGAAATGGTTCCCCTACGCACTTCCCAGAGTTGCACAGAGGCCACTTGAAATGTAAATCTGAGCTTTACTTCCCCCATGTGGGTAGCAACATTTTTATGAAAATGACCTGATTTGAATTTATATGTGGGTACATGGGAGCAGAGGCATCTACAAAGGCACATTCCTGTTTAACATAGACTTAACAAGCTGCTGGTGACTCTACAGCATGCCCATCACAGAGACAGAAACAAGCTGTCTGTCAAAAACCCTTAAGCTGTGGGTCAAGCTTGATCGCATAGTATTCATTTTAGAGCATTCAATCATTAAAAGATAAATGGAAACTGAGTATTTCACTGTTAGAATACATAAAGCCATAACTGACCAACACTACTTTGCCTTTTCTCATTTTATAATCATCACCGTACCAAAACAACGTATTACAGTGCATTTATTAATTTGCTTGAAACGTATGAATAAAAAGTCTGAAAAGAACAATGTGTATTTGAACTTTGTATGACTGTCTTTTTCCAAATCCTTGCTACCAATGTAGGTAAATATGAACAGTGCCACAATAATTTTTTTTCAGGTAATTTCTAAAAGTTTGGTTGGTTTTTACGAGATATAAGACTAAGAGGTTTAAACTCCATATTTCAGATGTTTGTTTCCTGGATTCCCAATTGAATTTGGGTGTGCATTTTGACTATGAATGCATGTAAAGTGCATTAATCTAAACCATTCAGCTGTGGCCCTAGGTGCACATTTAGAGAACATACAGAATGATCTCAAATGTAGCAGTATTACCCTAAGCCCCATTTTTCTTCTCCATATCTTTTACCAGCTTCTCTCTCTGAGATACCTCCTACTGACACTGAAAAAGAGATGTGGCATTGAAAAACCAAACACTGTAAAATACTGAATTAATAAGTAAAATGAAAATTTAAATAATAAACACTCTGTATGCAAAAAAAACTCAAAACATTGTCAGTGAAAATTTGTACATTGTCAGTTGCCAGCTTGTGGTGACATCAGAACTATGCAGTAACACTGAAAACACATCTTTGAAAAAAAAAAAAACAATGGTTAAAAAAAAAAGGAGAGAGAATCATCAAAAGGTTTTCAATGTCACTATTTTCATTTTTTTCCTTCATATTTTCTTTCACAGTGTGTGATTTTTAAAGCTTTTATTTTACAATGATAAAACTCCCTTTTAATTGCCTTTAATGCCTCTCCCATCTTAGAAAAGCTGTCCTGATTCTACACTTTTTGGCTCTGTTTCTTGAGTTTTTAGTTATACTTTGATTCATGTCTTTCTGTGTTTTCTAGTTTATTGGTTTAAATTCCATTTTATGTTATTCTAGTTGTTTTTGGTTCTATTTTTTGAGTTCTTATGTATTTCTTGTTCACCCTCTGCTGCCCTCTTGTGTCAGTCTCCTTCTCCTAGCGCCCTTCTAGATTCCTCTGTCCACACCTGCTCCCAATCTGCTGATTAGCCTGGTCTCGGTTCAGTCACCCATTATACACCTGTTCAGTGACTGCTTGCTTGTTCCTCATTGTTTCTTGGCTCCTTGTGTGTGTTTTTTCCTGATTTCCCTGGGTATTTCGTTAATACTGTATTTTTTTAATTTTTGGATTTTACCTTCAGTTGCACCCTTTTTGTTATTAGATCTGCTAGAAACCCCATTCAGCTTCAGTCTCTGCATTTGAGTCCTCTTCAAACCTTCACTCAACCTGACAAAAGCATTGCCATAGCAACATGCCAATATCACCATGCAGGGCTGCCAATTTTTCACCAAACCTTGGGTTGAGATTTTGAAATAGTTTGGACAGGAAACCCTGTCAGGATTTGATCAAAAGGCTATGAGGATAGGTGCAGCTAAATGTTGGAGGTTTTCGGAGGATTTAACTGAAAGAAAGTGTCAGAATGTGTGATTTTTATAGAACAGTAAATGCTACTGAGTAACAATAAGTGATCTATGTGGAACATTTTTCTTACAATATCCATTATTTTCTATATTTTGGTGATTTTTAGAGAATTGAAGTAACGAAGTATGGGCCCTACTGAAATACTTGCATATTAAATATACTGTAAACTAAGAATTTCACAACTTTTATTATTATCTGCAGTTTAAGTAAAATAAGCAATGGGAAAATAAGTTATCACTGGATTACTGGCACTAATACAGGAACCAGTGCAATCGAATCCCATGCAAACTACACTCCGTATGAATATTTGCTAAGTTTTACTTACAGTTGACAAAACAGCTAAACAATTCAGACCTTCTAGGCTTTCTTTATTAAACTGACACACACTCCTGAGGCGTCACACAGCTGTATCCATGGCACTGACCTTTTACTAGATTAAAAGTGGTATGGCTCTCAGTATGTCACAATAAAAGTCCAATTTAACAACTCTCCGTCAGGCAACTTGTTGATCCATAGCTGCGTGGTTTATAGTTATTTTCCCTCCACCTGCAGGACATCTGCGTCGCTGCCACGTCTCTCCTCCCCTGGACGCGCAAAGTGGGGGCGCAGCGCTCGGCTCACTAAAAGCGCTGCTCCTGAGCTGCGCAGCATTGTGGACACCACCAGCAGCAGCAGCTCATCTGGCTGTCTTTCCCTTTGCATCAGCAGCCATTACAGCTGACACATAAAACTTTTTTTTTGCGTTTTCAAGCTGCAAGTGTTTTTTTTTTTGTGTGTGTGTGTTGTTTTTACCTCTCCGTTACAGAGTGGAGGCATTCCTTGCGTGACAGTGGGTGTCCGATTACCAACCGTGTGCCGCGCGGCTGGGACCCGTCAAGGAGCGCTCCCTGCAGAGACAGAGGACGTTTTTATTCTTATTTCTAACGTGATCGACACTCTTAAAGACACACAAGCTCTAAGGATACTTCATCTCCAGCCTGCCTGTATTCTATGTTACCTCACCACTCTTCTCTCCGGGACAAGACACGCAGCTCAGCTCAATACTAGATGAACGGGAGTTGGACACTTTACTCGGTAAGAGACAAAATCAATGTTATCGTGCTGTAATACTTATTCTGCTTTTTTTTTATTATTATTTTTATTTTTTTTTTTAATATTGCGTTAAATGTAAAACATTTTCTAATGGAGATATGCAACACATTTCCAGCCAAAACACATCTAATGCCGTTATCTTTCTTATCACTAATGGATATTTGGATTTATTTCAGATGTATTGATTACATTCAGATGTATTGATTACATGAAGGTACCAGCTTAAATCACCAACAACTAAAATATTCAGTTTAAAAAGTTTTTTCCCCCCCATGCCACACATTTACTGGCCACTTGGTGGCGCTGACAGAGTGCTGTCGTCAGTATTAAACCCCTCTAACATCTTAATTCATAAATTGGAAGTCAATGGCACTGGTATGTGAAGTCAACTTAGTTTGATTTTATTTACATGGCACCATATTATAAGGAATGTTATCTCCAGGCATTTCACAGGACAAACGGGTCCAAACACTGCTGCATTAATTTCAAACTCAGTTTAAAACCTTCCAGGTAATTCATATATGTAATCCAACAATATTGCTACATTTAGATTTTTTCTGACTTTCTATCTTTGACTTTTCAACAGACCTTTTTCCAAGCAAGCGTCAAAGCATAGTTTAACCTTATTGTCTTTTCCCTTAATGTTTCTGTAAAGCCATGAAACTTAATAAGTGGCTTAAGAGATGTATTTAAATAATAATAAAAAAACAATCACAATAAATGATACAGAAATAAAAATAAAAGCTGTTTCTTTTAGTGTCAAGTTTCTATCTTTTAATAATTTTTACATACATTTATTTAGGCCATTCGCTTTTGTGTGCTTTGAGGGTCTTTCAGTGTTTAAAACCGCTGTTATTTAGCCATAAAATACTGCTAAAATAAAGATACAATCTATTGTTTGTAGCTATATATTTTGGTCTGTTTTTGCTGTCTAAAACCTACATTAACTTTATCAGTTAACTAAAAATATCAAATTAGTCGGTTTTGCTCTATGGAATATACATTAAATCATAATTTGATAAAATAAACCCCATTTAATTGCTTTGTGTAGGCTTAAGAGCATAGAGACAAAACTGAATTTATAGAAGAATATTAGTGCAAAGGAAATCCATGTGTTTTTTATACATTTGCAATAAATAGATTTCCACATGCCTAAAAGTTGTCAGATTCTAATGTTCCAGCAAGGAATCAGCCATAAAAGCGTTAAATTGTGGTTCTTTAAACTATTAAAAGTAGATCTTCAGAACTAAAGGATTATTCCAGCATTTCTTAGTTTGAGGAATGTGAAATGCTGTTTTTAAAAGCCTTGATGATACAGGCTTCAAAAACCCTCTGAGGGGATCAGCAAGGGTATGTTAAATTTGGAGAGATAATGCATGGGAATTACATCCATAGCTGCCCCATGGCTTTGTCCCTACAGCTGTGCTCATGCTCAACTTTTTAAACTGAATAAATATAACAATCTACCTTTGTATTTATACTCTATTATTATACTAAATTATTTTTTTTAGATCTCAGACACCCACTTTGTATTGATTCATCAGACAAAATAAAGTATAGAGCCTTCAGCAGGCTTCCTTTGCCTATTGAGTATTCTTTTGTGGCCGTTTTAATCATGGTATTAAGTTTGATAGGATGAACATTTTAATCTGATCTTAAAGGCTCAGGCTCATCAGTGTTTATCCTTGATCCCCTCTGTCAAATTGTGCTCAACAATAGAAAGTGAACCATGTCTGGAACTACTTCACTTCTTCTTACAACCCCCCCAAAATTCAACTAATAGGTAAATTCTGTGGTCCAGATTGGCCCCCATCACATTGTGTAGGGGTGTGTGTGTGTGTTTGTGCATAGTTGTTTGTCTGATGTTATCCTGTCTTGACCTGTAATGCACTGGTAGCCTGTGCAAGATGTACCCCCACTTGTGCCCAGTAATCGTTACGGATAGACAGACACCCTCCTACCCACCCCCACTACCCATATGGGATAAGCGGATTTAGACAAAGGGTAGTTGGATGAATGGATGTCTGAAAGGTAACCATATTTTTATTTAGTGTCAGGCCAGAATAAAGACTGAAAATTGTTATTAGTAAATCAAATTTTCTATTTATTTTGGAAATGGTTTTTAAAATCAGGATCTTTTTTCCACCATTGCACATATTGGGCATTTATAGTTGAAGGTGACATCAGTTCATCACTTTTTGTTCTTAGATGTGTGTGCTTATAGGTGACATACTATAAAATTATTTTCTATAAAACTGAGTAAATGGGAACTGTGAAGTGATTTTTAAAATTTTCACAAGCTTAAAGTTGTATAAAGCTAACAAACCAATTAGTATCAATATAGTAATCCATTGACTAGATTATGGCACATTTATGAATAGTAAAAGTTACCTTACTTTACAGCTTGCTAAGTGGCTGCATATTCCTTTGTTTAGCAAAGAATATTGGTTGACTAACAGCAGTGATATTTGCATTGTGATGACAGTTTGCCTTAGCACTGACACCAGCAAAAACACAGCAATTAGCCTTAGCCAGCGCAAACTCTGTGATGAAAGTGACCCCAGTGGTTTCAGCAGCCCACTGTGTAGCTATGGTAACCCAAAGAAAGACAAGCCAATTGTTGTTGACCTTTGTGATCCCCCATCTCAACGGGGGTCCGAGCCCTCTGAGAGTGAGAGTAAAAGGCATAATCATGCACATGTAAACTAAACAGTCATTACCCTATGGCCCCAGAGCGCTTTTCTTTCAGAGCCTTTTGGTTACTTATTTATCTGACAACAACGAGGTGGAGTTTTAGGATCGCTGGTGACTGTGCATGCTTGCCTTTTCAAAGGATCTGTCTTTATTGGCTGAGAAATGCATGAAGAACTGATTTCAATGGGTTTCTCACAATGACTGATGTATTGTTCTTGTACAAGTAAACTTAGAGACTTAAACAATTGTTGAAATGGCTTACTGTTGTTTTCTGCTGGTTTATGGCCCCTCCTTGCCAAAGGGTATTTGTACATCACAGCCACTTTATCATCATCTAATCTCCCCCTTGTTTCTACTGACACTTTTGCTTTCAGGGCTGTGTGGACTCTGTATGTAATAAAGTTCCACAAAATGCCTTGCAAAACTTAAAAAAAATATCCTGCACCATAACAATGGCTATCTCACTAATGTATTTGGATAGGATTTTTGCCTGATAGAGCAACAGAAAGTAACAACAATCTGATAAAATGCAAAGTATGGAATGCATTTTTATTCAGCCTCCTAAGTCAGTACTTTGTAGAAAAATTTTTGAAGCTCAAAAAGACACAGATGGAGAGCAATCATACATATTAGTTTTTTTAAAATCTTACCACAGATTCTGCATTGGATTTACGTATAAGGATTTAGGCTAGGCCATTCTAACACATGAAAACGCTTTGATTTAACCGTCCCATTATAGCCCTGTCTATATGTTTACTACAGTTTTATTCTGCCTGTGTCTCTGCTCCACTCTTTACCCGCAATTATTTCAGTCCTAATTAGCAAAGGAGGTGTCTGCCTCACCTAGCTGAAAAACCCAGAGGTGCCTTTAGAAGCATGCACAGACCCTGCAATTAAAACCAGCTGAAAATACAAATTCAGTCTAAACAGTTGGAAGAGGAGTGTCAAACAACAGTTTTAACTGCTTCGCTATTTTTTTTGCATACAGATCTTTTCTCAATTTTTTTTCTTCAACAACAGTTGAGTCCATTATTGCAAATAAAAGCTATGTTTTACTTAATATGGTACATTTAAGTACACTTGTGCATATTATGGATAACTGTACTTATACATATTTATACATTTAGCAAGGCCTTCAAGAAAATACATTATCACAGTATGCAGCATAAAACATATTGGGCAATATCAAAGTTTACACAGCTCACATGCTCACACTGACCCTTATTCTGCTGGAGGTTTCTTTCTGTTAAAAGGGATTTTTCCTCTCCACTGTCGCTACAAGCATGCTTAGTGTGAGGGATTGCCTTAGAGTCAATGCAATCAGGCAGTTTTCTGTGGACATAAAACTTTGAACCAATCTGGCTGTATGATCTGGTAGAATTGTCTCTGTAAAGTGCCTTGAGATGACATGTGTTATGAATTGGCACTATATAAATAACCTAAATTCAATAAATATTTGGATACTATGGATTTTTTGCTTGTTTAGTATCTTGTTGATATAGTATGGTCTGTGTAGATTGAAATAATCTGGCTCTGGTGTATTTCAAAAAATAAAACCAGGCTGATTATTTTTTTTATTTTATTTTTTTGTGGATTGTGCACCTTGAGTTGTACAGTGGAAGGCAGTGTAAACACTCTTATTGATTATAATGGGTGCATACTTAATATGGAGTTTGTACCAGAGATGGAGGCAGTATAAATTACTGTTTGTCTTTTGCAGCCCCTAAAAGGCTCTCTTCTAAGATGGCTTTATACTTATGTCCCTTTTTCATCTACCTTCCTTATTGCCGCTTGATACTGCTGCCACTGGGATAATAAAAAAATATAGACATCAGGTCATTGTTAATAGAAAATACTTTTGGTACAATTCTATGAACTCAGATCCAGGACCACTGAGGGATGTAGGCTGAGGAAAGGATTTAGCCTCTCAAGGTAAAGGTGATGTTTAAATGGGGTTAGAGTATTACCATATTTTTTTGTGACTATACAATGACAAAATGTGAAAAGGTCACTGGTATTTAGCTTTGTATTTAGCACATCTTGTGAGTTTGGATACCTTCCTGATCTTTTTTTCCCACATAAAGAAGAAAGTTGCCACTGTGTCAGCAAACATTTTTCACCTCCTTTCATTTCTTCTATTGTCTGTCATCTAGAGAGATGGTGTGGTGTTTCTATGGCAACTCTTAAGATTTCCCACAGTGAGTTCGAGAGCCCGTCCATCACAAAGCAAATGAAAGTTTGTCATTCACTACTCATCTAAGTGCCGCAATGTTTCCTTAAGAGGCGGA